TCCCAGGAAAAGCCCCACAAGACAGTCTCTCCACTGAAGTCAGTTAAAAGCAGCCTTGGGGTTCCTAGAAAAGCACTCCATTCTCTCCTGTGGCTGCCCAGACCTGGAACTTGTTCCACCTCTCCAACTTCAGAAATGGCCTCTTAAGAACCTTTTGACTGAAACAAGTGCTCTCTTGACCAGTTTCCTTTAGTGAATGTGAATAAGGAAAGAACCTGAGTGAAAATGGGCATCCCAGGGCTTATCCAATCAGCATACTCTTCACCCCTTTTAGGGTTACCAGGGTGGGTGTCCCTTCTGCCCCTGAAGCACGCCTGCCAGGAGCAAGAAGAAATGCAAAGGACCCCTTGCTTCTGCCTCTCCCTACCTTCAACAGGCTATGAGGAGAAGGAAAGATCCTCATAGGAGGAGGTTCACAGCAGGCGTTTAATAAATGCTGTTGCCAGAAGCAATGGCTATCACCTGTAATCCCAGCACTTTGGGAGGACAAGGCAGGAGGATTGCTTGAGTCCAGTAGTTTGAGACCAGCCTGGACAAAATAGTGAGACCTCGTGTCAAAAATTAAAAAAAAAATTAGCAGGGTGTGGTGGTGCATGCCTGTGGTCCCAGCTACTTGGGAGGCTGAGGTGGGAGGATCACTTGAGCCAGGGCAGTTGAGACTGCAGTGAGCCATGACTGTGCCACTGTCCTCCAGCCTGGGAAACAGAGCGAGACCGTCTCAAAAATAAAAATAAAAATAAAAATAAATTCCTATCAGTTTAAAAAAGGAGAGGATCACTTAAAAATAACATGAAGTAAATAATACCACAAGAGGCAACAATTATGAAAGTGGTACTAGAAGTTTTGGAAACTCTGAGCTAGAAGGTTTTTCAAGTCCCTCTCACTTCTAAAAGTGATGTTGGTACCACGGAGCGTGAGGCTGCAGATGGCATCTCAGGCCCTTTCCTTCAGGGTTCCTCTCGAACTTTACCTCCTCTCTGCAGCTTCTAGCAATCCAGCAGCCTGACTAGAAGTTACTCCCTCTGCTCTGCTCCCAGATCATGTTCTCTACCCATGGACTGTGGCATTTATTACTCAATACTATAACACTCTTTTTTTGTTTATCTCCCCTCTAGAACATGAGTACCTTCAGACAAGAATTATGTCTTGCTATTTTATCCCCAAGACATTGACTATTATATTCTGTGTGTGATACAAAGTAGGTGCTTGATGAATGTGTGCTGAAAAAATGAACCAATGTTTCTGCTCCTTTCTTGCTGAAGAGAAGATGCAAGACAGTGGAAGAAGAATTGTTGCCAGAGATCTAATGGCCATCATTCCAACCTAGCACCTCTTAGCACTTCAGCTGGATGGCAGGACACTCACCTTTCTGACCTCACCTTTGAATACTAAGTTAAATGAGGATTTGTTAAGTCATTTTAAAGAGGCCTCACCATATGAAATGTTGGGAAAAATCAAATTTTTCTTCAAGAAACTTAACATGATCAAAAAGAAACCAGTCATGCCAGTGTAAGACCAAATATATAGGTATCTATTTGAATTTTATTATTTTTCTTTATTTTTTGAGACAGGGTCTCGCTCTGTCACCCAAACTGGAGTGCAGTGGCACAATCAGAGCTCACTGTAGCCTCGAACTCCTGGGCTCTAGTGATCCTCCCACCTCCGCCCCCACAAGTAGCTAGAGCTACAGATGCACACCACCGTGTCTGCCTAATTTCTGTATTTTTTGTACAGATGACGGGGGTGCCTCAATATGTTGCCCAGACTAGTGTCAAACTCCTGGGCTCTGGCAATCCTTCTGCCTCAACCTCCCAAAGTGCTGGGACTATAGGCATGAGGCACCGTGCCCAGCCTGTAGAGGTACTTTTGACTTCTGCAACATAGATCAGAACTGGGTAAATACCTAAGAACATTCCTTCCATATCCTTCTAGTGGCAGGATGTAATACTGGAAAATACTAGGCTTGATTGGTGACATGAAAACCCAAACAGACATTCCACTCTTGTCATAAATGACATATAAATACAAAGTATTGTATCATGCAGAAATGAAACACATGTAAGAGGATAGTATTAAGCCAAAAAAAAAAAAAACAATAAGAAAGCTCCCATTTCAAATTAAGAGGTTGCTCCTTCTGAAATATGAGGCTTGCTCAATTACAGTCTTCATGTTATTTTGAGCCTTGGGCCTATACCTGATAAGCAGGAAGACTAGAAGAATCCTTAAGCCACAAAGGAAATGATATTCTTTTAACCAGAATAAATCTGTCAACAAAAAGGTACAGACTAGCTGCACTAAATACTCTCTGCAGGTTCTTATTAAAAATATAAATTAAATTCCAGCACAGTCCCTTTACTGCCTACATCTGTTTGCTATTCTATCTCCATTATTAATATTGTAATGCAGGGTCCCCATTCAGGCAAGATTAATTCCCTGTTCCCAAAGCCTTCTGCTGACACTGCAATGAATCCATTTGGAAGGCTGTAAAGGCAGCCATAGACATTGCTCCCAACACGTGACCAGTGAGGAGATGAAACCTGGGCCTCTGGGCTTAAAAAGAGAGAAAAGGAAGTTGGGTTAGGCCTGTGTTCAGAGAGGTGGAATAGCCCAGTGATTAAAAGCTCAAACTCTAAGGCTGAATGCAGTGGTTCACAGCTGTAATCCCAACACTTTGGGAGGCCGAAGGCAGGAGGATCACTTCAGTCCAGGCATCTGAGACCAGCCTGAGCAACACAGTGAGACCTCATCTCTACAGAAAATTTGAAAAATTAGCCAGGTGTGGTGGTGCATGCCTGTAGTCCTGGCTACTTGGGAGGCTGAAGTGGGAGAACTGCTTGAGTCCAGGAGGTTGAGGCTGCAGTGAGCCATGACTGTGCCACCACACTCCTGCCTGGGTGGCACAGCATGACCCTGTCTCAAAAAACAAAACAAAAGGCTGGGCGCGGTGGCTCGTGCCTGTAATCTCAGCACTTTGGGAGGCTAAGGTGGGCAGATCATGAGGTCAAGAGATCGAGACCATCCTGGCCAACATGGTGAAACCCCATCTCTACTAAAAATGCAAAAAAATTAGCTGGGTATGGTGGTGTTTCTATGGTCCCAGTTACTCAGGAGGCTGAGGCAGGAGAATCACTTGAACCCAAGAGGTGGAGGTGACAGTGAGCTGAGATCAAGCCACTGCTCTCCATCCTGGCGACAGAGCAAGACTTCATCTCAAAAAAAAAAAAAAAGCTCAAACTTTGGACTCAAACAGCCCAATCCAATCCCAGCTCTTTCACACCTAGATGTAAAAGAGCATCTTTGAGCAATTCATTAACCCCTCAAGAGACTCACTTCTTATCTATAAAATAGAAATAATGAGAACCTGGTAAGACTGTAAAGCATTTAACACAATGACATGAAGAGAGTAAGTACTAAACAAAGGGAATAAAGGTTATCATCATCTTCATGATACCATCATCATCATCTCCAGGATCGGTCTCTATGCTAAGGCAGAACAGGAGGAGTCCTGCTACTCTTTCAACCTGCCCAGGTTAAGCAGCTACAACTAAGATAGAAAAGACATGGTATAAGAGGCAAAAAAAGTGCAAAAAGCAAAAAAAACAGAAGAGGATATGACAAAATAGGGTCTTGATTACCATGCTAATGAGGGGGAGGGAAGACTACATTTATTTTATTTTTAATTGAAAGAAGAATAAGAACATAAAAGATTACATTTAAATTGAAGAAAAGAAACTCTCCATCAAAAGATATCAATAGAAAAAATTATTTTTATTATTTATTTATTATTATTATTGTTATTTGAGACACAGTTTCACTCTGTTGCCCAAGTTGGAGTGCAATGGCACGATCTCGGCTCACTGCAATCTCTGCTTTCCAGGTTCAAGCGATTCTCGTGCCTCAGCCTCCAGAGTAGTTGGGATTACAGGTGCATGCCACCATGCCAGGCTAATTTTTTGTGTTTTTTAGTAGAGATAGAGTTTCACCACATTGGTCAGGCTGGTCTTGAACATGTGACCTCAAGTGATCCACCACCTGCCTCAGCCTCCTGCTGGGATTACAGGTGTGAGGCACTGCGCCCAGCCAAAAAAAACCTTTTTAAAGCATAAATGGTAGTTTATTGGAGTACCAGACATAATTGCTCAAGAAGAGAATACGGTCATTAAGAGTATGAACTCTGAGTTGGGCATGGTGGTTCACACCCATAATCCTGACACTTTGGGAGAACTGCTTGAGCCTAGGAGTTTGAGACCAGCCTGGGCAACATGGTAAAACCCTGTCTCTACCAAAAAAATACAACAATTAGCTGGGCATGGTGGTACTTGCCTGTTATCCCAGCTACTCGGGAGGCTGAAGCTGAAGGATCACTTGAGCCTAGGGAGGTCGAGGCTACAGTGAGCCATGACACACCACTGTACTCCAGCCTCGATGACAGAGTGAGACCCTATCTCAAAAAAAAAGGAAAAAAAAAGCATACAGGGCAACAGATGAAAGCAGACTAGGATTAAAAAAAAAATACAAGTTAAAAGGAAGTAAGTAAGATGGATAAAGGAATGAGAGATGACAGATTTGTGATAAAGTATAAAGTTAATAGTAGAATCTGGGTTGTGGGTATATGAGTGTTCACTGTAAAATCCTTCCAACTTTGCTGTATGTTTAAAATGTTTCATAAGAAGCTTGGGGGAGGGGCATAAGTAGACATAGAGGCATCAGCCCAAGTTCTGAATCATAACCATGTTACCTGTCCTTTGGGCCCAAACTTCAGGGCAAGCTTAGAAAAACCTGATCTGGGAACTCCTGCTCATCAACACCTTCCTGCGCCAGACAAACAGGAATCAGGTGCTAATGAGGACCACCTTGGCATGAGTAGCTATAGTCAGAGGGCAAAAATGTAGAGGGTCCACTGAGAAGTACCAAGTTCACAGCACTATGACATTGTCACCCCTGCTCAGGAAATCCTCAGAAATGAGGCTCTGGATAAAGAACAGGTGGCATACACTCACTCATGGACTCTGTTGTCGCCATAGAGATCACTCAGGCCAAAGCTGACATAGTGCCAGTGCTCGGGGATGTTGGCAGAAGGGCTCCCCACATTCCTGTACATGCTAACATAGTCCAAGGGGTCTGGGCCGCCCAACCTGCAAAAAACAAAACACAGGGGTGTCAGTGTGAGCCTGGACATCAGAAAATGTCAAGCTAAGGCACTCTACTTCGTAAACCTACAGGTCCCGTCCTAGAGGGTGAAAGGTAACTTAAAAACAGGTCACACCTTTCCAGGTTGAGACCAAGGGTTGCACAGCTGAGGCTGCCCAACTCTACAAGCAAAAGAGGCTCCCTTCTCCTAACCCGTAGAAGACTGGGCCTCTTTTAGAAATGAAACAGGCTGAGTGGTTGTCCATTTTGCTTCTGTTTCAAATTACCGATCCCAATGAGATCGGCAGGGATTATCTCTATTCTGTGGTGCCTGTACATGCCAAGCTTCAAGGCAAGAGGTGCATCAGTCAATCAATTGGCCTCTGTTGAAAGACCATCCCAAGCATCCCAAATGGGCATTGTTCCTGGAAGCAGAGGCTCTACTCCACTCCAGCCTCTTAGACAGCTAATTCCTGAAAGACTATATTGTGCCCTAAGTTAATTACAGTTTGTTCTAAACAAACCCAAACCTTTAGTCTATGCAGACACCAGCCTGCACCCCATAAACCAAAGCTGGTCTTTTATCATTGCAAGTGACAAAGGCCAAACTTAGGCTTAGCTCAGTTCTAGACAGAGAACTGCAGCAAGAGCCAAACTGAGCCCTGTGAGCATGTGCACCCAGAAAATGATCCCAGGAGAGACTGCCACCTCAAAGGTTGAGCTAGGACAGCAAATGATTTGGGGCCTCTGAGGAGCACATTAAATTTCTCCCACCATTCAACTGAGAAGGAGTTGCGGAAGAAATTCAGTTATTATATCACTCTGAGGATTTAACACAATAAGAGTTCCCTTTAGTAATTAGTGCTTTTAAAAAAATCCTGTTTTGGCGAGGCACAGTGGCTCACACCTGTAATCTCTGCACTTTGGGAGGCTGAAGCAGGTGGATCACTTAAGATCAGGAGTTCGAGACCAGCCTAGCCAAAATGGTGAAACCCCATCTCTACTAAAGATACAAAAAATTAGCCGGGTATGGTGGCAGGTTCCTGTAATCCCAGCTACTCCAGAGCTGAGACAGGAAAATCACGTGAACCCAGGAGGCGGAGGTTGCAGGGAGCCGAGATCACACCATTGCACTCCAGCCTGGGTGACAGAGCTTTTTTTCTGTCTCAAAAAAAGAAAAAAAATAAACAAATAATTCTGTTTTCCTTTAGAATGGATAGGAAAATGTGGTAGCTAGATAAACAGACTAAATAGAAACCATCAGTGGAAGGAAGTCTGCATTTAGCCCACAAATACGGCATTTGAGCTGCCTCAAACATCTGACAATTCCACAGACTGCAAGAGCTTTACCAGCCCCTGAGACATCAATGGAGTACACTTTGCAACTGGGATAGTATGCAACCAAGTAAAAGACATGTGACAAGTGATCCCAGCAAATGGTGCCAGCACCAGGCAATTTAAACACTATTTAAAACTAGTAGGTCTTGTTTCATCCTCTTTTAATTATTTGCCTTTGTAGAAATCCCTGCTCTCTGCTAGGAAATGCTAAGTTATTTATAGAACTAAGTTGCTACAAATAGCTTAGAATCTTAACTGAGGAAAAGGGACAAATCTCCCTGTCTCCCTTAACTCTGATTTCACCAAGTCTGCCTTAACTCTGATTTCACCAAATCATCTGACTAATTCTACAACCAGTTGGGTTTAGAAAAGTTTGTGGGGCAAAGGAAGAAAGGAAAGACTAGAGATCCCTGGAAAGACCCCAGTAGAGCTACAGAACTCCAGAGCAGATGGAAGCCGCTACAGGTCCCATACCTGCTCCAATTTCCTGCTGCAAATTTCCAAATCTGTTCCCCTATAGCCTAGGTCCAACCCGCACCAAGCTGCAAAACTGTGTTCACCATTCCCTGCTCCATCTGCCGCATCCCTGCAGCCCTCCTTCTCACCACGTCTCCCACGACGTGTCAGATCAAGTTTAAGTTTTTGCCTTAAAACTCCAACTGCGAGGAACTACCAAGAGTCAGACAAAACTAACCTTGTCCCCAAGCACAGAGTATTCTGTTCTACTACTCAGAGGCCAGACGAATATGTGGAAAAAAATCATATTTTACACTTAGCAAACAATGTTATCCAAAGTCCCAGGGCATCCCTCAACTTAATTCCTTGAACACCCAACTTCTCTCCACAGGGCAGTTGCAGGACTGAAGTGGGCCTTGACTACAGGTTCTGCCTCTCTGCTTTGATCCTTGCTCACCAAAGTCTCACCTTTTTGTCAGAATGTCCCCACTACTCAGGGATCACTAGCCAAAGAGCCACCCTGCTATTGCAAAATGAATCCCAAGCTACCTTGGGCCGCAGACAGACCCAGACAGCCTAGGCCAGTCATCCTGCTAGAAAACTCGTGGGATCCCAAATGTGAGGAATATAAATGAATTTCAGGATCTCACTTTTGCAAACTCCTCTGGATCTTAGAAAGTACCAGTCACTATTATGCTGAGGCCAGGCACAGTGGCTCACACCTGTAATCCCAGCACTTTAGGAGGCCAAGGCGGGCAGATTACAAGGTCAGGAGATCAAGACAATCCTGGCCAACATGGAGAAACCTGTCTCTCCTAAAAAAACACAAAAATTAGCTGGGTGTGGTGACACATGCCTGTAATCCCAGCTACTTGGGAGGCTGAGGCACAAGAATCACTTGAACCCAGGAGATTGCAGCCAGCTGAAATCGTGCCACTGCACTACAGCCTGGTGATATAGTGAGACGCCATCTCAAAAAAAAAAAAAAAGAAGTACCAGTCACTGATGGCTGGGTGCAGTGGCTCACGCCTGTAATCCCAACACTTTGAGAGGCTGAGGCGGGTGGATCACTTGAGGTCAGGAGTTTGAGACCATCCTGGCCAACATGTTGAAACCCTGCCTCTACTAAAAATACAAAAATTAACTAGGCATGGTGGTATGTGCATGTAATACCAGCTACTTGGGAGGCTGAGGCACGAGAATTGCTTGAAACCGGGAGACAGAGGTTGCAGTGAGCCAAGATTATGCCACTGCACTCCAGCCTGGGCGACAGAGCAAAACCCCGTCTCAAAAAAAAGAAAAAAAAAGAAAGTACCAGTCATTGTGCTGTTTCTCTTTATATTTCTCTGCATCTAGGCAGGGCTTTCACAAAGTGCTGTACAATCCCTTTTCTTCATTATCATCTGTTGGCCCATCTCTGTAGATATGGCCTGATTAACAAGCTTGCAGCAAGAAGAAAAAAAATTGCCCTTAATCCTTTGTACATGCTGTCATACCTTTTACATACAATTCTATCCTTTACGGTAATTTGGGTGACATAAAAAGTTGCCTGAATCTGTGCAGGGATTTCTCCTTACACTCAAATGAGGCCTGAACAAACAGCATAGCAGAGCCAGGCCCACTTCTCTTTTTTTTTTCAAATAACAGAGACAGAGTCTAGCTGTTACCCATGCTGGTCTCGAACGCTCAAGGAATCCTCAAGGCCTCCCCAAATGGTGGGAATATGGGCATGAGCCACCTCACCCAGCACAGGCCCACTTTTCTCATGACACATGACAACAGGTTCATCACAACACATAGTTAAACATAGAGGCACAATGATAATGGGTCATTAAGCTAGCAAGAGCCACTTTCCACTCGGAAGCGCTCCTCAACAACTCCTCTAAACCAGAGAACAGTTCGACGGCCAGAGAGGACTATGACACCAGTCCCACCTCCTCCTGGCTACTTGGACAGAGGAGCCTGCTCCCTATGACCCTCCCTAGACAGCAGGTGGCTGGTCCCCAGGCCCTCCATGCTGTTGGCCTTTTGGCTTCCTCCCTTTGACGCAGGCAGCTGGCCTCAGCCCGGCACAGCCTACTGACAACCATGTCCAGGGGAAGTAAGAGATTTTCATGAGGAGGGAGACTTGGTCCTAACAGAAGAGGTAACCAACAAAGATATCCACTTGCCCCTTCAGGTCTACCCTTTGGCTACACCCCAAGCAGCTGCCAAACCATGTTTCAGGACTCATTGAAGGAGATCATCTAACACAACACCTGCATGAATGTGGTCCCGAACAGTTTCAACCAATATCTCGGTTTTTGGTCCAGCAAGACCATGAGGACAGGTTCTTTTTCTAGAGTCCCCATAACATCTGTTTTCCCCAAAGGCTGCAGGAAGAAACAGGTTGCAAATAGGAATGGGAAACCAGAAAAGACCATTCCTACCCTAAAGCTACTTGAGGGTTACTTTCAACTCCCTGGAAGAACTGCAGGCCATGGCCAGGAAGCTCCTCTTAATGTCCCACTGCACAATTCCTCCCTGCTGGGATCCCAGGGTCTCCAACATTTATTTCCTACTGGAGGTGGGAAGCTGTGGTCCCCTTCGATCCTAAGCCAAACCATACTTCTCTCTGCCTAATGTCCTAAAGCAAAGCAGCTGCAGAGCTAGGAGGAGGCTCTGCAGGGAGAAGGAGAGCAGTGTAGAATAAGCAAAAAGTTTATCAGGAAAAGCTGCTCCGTCAAACTTCAAAAGCAAAAGCTTTGCCCTGATGCGACGTCTTGAGCTCATTGGAAAAGTATCAAAAGGAGACCTCTTCCTCATCTCTCCACAAGCACCAGGGCCTCATCTTTGGCCCTCCTAACCCCAAAGGACAGCTCCGGGCTCCCAGCCGGCCCTAGCCTAAGCAGTCTCGTGCCCTCTGAGCTTCTCTGGCCTCGCTCCTCCAAAGCCCTCTCAAATGCTCCCCAGGCCCCGCCTCGCCTCCCCACCTCACTTCAGCAGCCCCCCCCCTTGGCTTCCCCTCTCCCACTAATGACCCCCTACAGGCGCCCCCTCTTTTCACCACGTTTACAGTTTCCTCGCTCAAGCCATTCCCCCCTCTGCTCCTACAAACACCCCCAGTCCTCACTCTATTCTCCTAATCTGGGTTAACCCTTCACTACTCACGGCTCCGTTAACCCCTTTGTCCCCACTCCCAACTTCAGCCTTAACTCCTTCCCTCGCAGCAGGAAGCCCTCCTTCCAAGCGCTTTAACCGTTCTCCCCTCCTCCCTGCCTCCCACAAATTACTTCGCCCTCGGCGCTTTAACCGTTCCCAGCCCGCGCCTGTCCGTCTCCCAGCGGCCCAGGGCATACCAGTACTTCACGATAGCGGTAACCTGGAGCGGGTTCGGCTGGTCAGGGTAAAGGCGGCGGCACTCTCCGTAGATGGCGTGCAGTCCCGGGGGGAAGAGCGAGGCGAAGGCCGGGGGGGCAGTTGGGCCAGGGGCCGGGGGCGCGGTGGGGCCGGGGGCGCCGCTAGGCCGCAGCTCCGCCATCCGGGCGCGTAGAGCAGGCACTGGAGGAACTAGGGAGGGCAAACGAGGGGACAGCACTGACGGGCCAGCGGGTGGACTCGGTGGGTGAGACTCCCCGAGGCGATGGGGGCTGCAGCGAGGTCTAGCTCCGCGCCTGCGCACGGCACACTGTCCGCCCAGGCTGTCGCCGCCGCTTAGGCTGCCAGAGGGTGCCTCGGAGCGGCGGGGCGCTCAGGGAGGCGGGGCGCCGGCGCGCCCTATCCAAGCACCCATTGGCTAATGTCTGTGCCAGTCACAGGCGGGGAAGGCGGGAGTTGACAATAGGCCCCGCCTTCCCCCCGTGTTGGGAGTATTCCAAGGCTCTTGGTCTCCCCCTAGTGTTAGGAGGAACCCAAGTTTAGAGATGTTGAGGCATCCCTCTGAGGTGCCAGGGTCCCACGAAAGCACTGAGAAGTGCGCCAACAAAGGGTTTGTTACTATTTTGCTGACGCTCTGCTAACTAGGATTTAAACATAAATCTGACAATGGATTGATTCATTCATCTGTGGGGCGTCAGTTTTAACAGATTATAATAAAGCTAATATTTTCTAGGACTATTGACAAAAAGGTTCCTGCAATTTGAAGGGGGCGGGGGGAGAAAATAATCCGGAGAAAAAAATGCACTGGGCTCATTTGAAAGCAGTGACACATAACCTCTCTTCACCTCCATTTTCTCAGCTGTCGATGTCAATTCTAGCTCCTCAAGAAAATTAAAGAGATACTAGAACAGTTCCTGAAACCCTTAGATAATGTTTTAATGACCAAAAGATTACCTATACTAGTAGTTCCGATTGCCAATCTTCGGATCAATGTAGCCTGTTACTAAGTTTACACCTATGCAGAAAAAAAGAAAATGCAAAAAGCAACGACAATGTACAGGTTTTTTCATTAAAACTAATTTTATGCAACTCAAATTGTTTTCCTTTGTTGTAGGACTATGTCCTCTCGCGTGTGTAACATCTCCTTGTTGTTTGGGTGTGAGGTGCTAGGAGATGTTTATTCGAGTCTTATAGACCCAAATAAAAACATGAGAACCTCACATTGTCTAAGGGAACATTGTGGGGAGTGGCAGGACTGATCTGCAAAATCCAAACATCCATTTATTATGACCAATCCAAACCGAACTACAGACAAGTACTCGAGAAGACTACATACCTCAGCATGCACTGCGAACTTCTTCAAAGTAACTACAGATCCAGGCAAGCAACGTGACCATCAACCTGTGTCTCTGTCTATTTAATCTAGGGAGACCACAAACCCCAGGGTACTGTGCATCGGAAATGCGACTCCCAGTCTTAAACTAGGCGGTCACCAAAGCAAGCGAGACCGCTAACATAGGCGCAAGGCGTGCTGGGAATTGTAGTTCTTCAGAGGCGAGGTCGGGCCGCTCCCTCGCCGCCCTGAACCGGCGGCTAGACTGCGCATGCGTGACAGTGGCGCTAGCGGCGGACCCGGCTGGCAGTTCCTTCTCCAGAAGGAGAGATTCCTCTGCCATGGAGTCCTACGATGTGATCGCCAACCAGCCTGTCGTGATCGACAACGTGAGTTGCGTCTTTCCTATCTATAGGGGGACTTGGGCTCTCCTTGAAAGGATCGCTTCCCGGGGTTCACCCTGAGCAGCCGGCTCTTTGTCACTGGCCCCGGCCTGTCAGGCGGGTTCAGCCACCGCCGCCTCCTTCCTCCCCTCATCATAGTTTGCAAGCAAGGCGACCAGCCAGCAAAAGTGGGATGGAGAACTCTGGAGTGGATAAAGGAAAGGGTTATGGTCCAAGCCGGTTCTTGGGCCCTTGGCTGTAGGGGCCTTAACCGCTGTGTGAGAGCCTGTCGCCCGCCCTCTCCCAATCGCTCTATTGGCTGCTCTGGCTGTCCATCTTAGCCGATGATCCCGCCTCTGGGCCTAGCCGGATGAGGCTAGGCGTCTGTGGTGATTGGCTCGCGCCCCTGTCGTTCTTTCTGGCCGCCATATTGTTTTCCCTCTCGAAGGGGCGGGGCAGTGCTCCAGGGTTTTGGGGATTGGCTTCTGGAACTCCGGGTGGTTGGGCCTAAAGGCGAGGTCCCGCCCGCGGGTGGAGAGCTGCTAAGTTTTTCCTTCTGTCTCAGCCGGCGCGGCGGCTTGGTAGTGTGGATCTGGGTGGGGCCCGAAAATCTGGTGCCAGAAACTGCTGTAGGATGTCAGCTATTACTGTGATTGTAAATTACAAAGTTGATAAAGGTCGAGAAGAAAGGAGGGTGACAAAGCAAGCAGAGAGGTTGTCTTCCTCTTCGGAACGCCTAGTTCTTAGGGAGAAAAAAATTACCAAACTTAATACTTGCCTGGCGCTCTAGCGCTTCCAGGGCGTTTTCACATACATTCGAGTTGGATTTTCACAAAAACTGGACTCATAGTTTAAAAGGAATTTTGATCCTCGTGTTACCGCTGAGAAAACCGAAGCGCGAAGACGTAACGTGAGCCCAAGGTCACACAGCAGAGGTGCCCTAAATACAGTGTTTTATTCGTCATTCCTTTTACAAGCACCCCCACGCAGAAGCATCAGTAATGACCAATAGAATCTAAATACTGCTCTTATGTTGAGGGGAAAGGAGAAAATTGTAAAACGACTGCATTTCTGCCTTTGATTCAAAGCTTTGGTCCCACTCAGACTGACTGATCCCTTTCTGTGTCCCTTGTAGGTCCCTCCATTGAGGCAAAACCAACAGTTCCCTCTGTCGTAAGCTCTGTCAGATTCTCTCTGTTGATTCAGCTCTTCGGACCTTAGGCATATTACAATGTTTTTTCCCGTTTAAGCTTCAGCTCTGTTAGGTAGATAGGAATTACTATCCCCAGTGTATGCAGGGATGTTAAATAACAGTATTCAAGCCACCCACCCAGTTTAGGAATTGAGGAGCCAGTCATCAGACTGACATCCAGTTCCAGGTTGCTCGCTTTTTCCAAGTAAGATGTTTTTGTTGTTGTTTTCGTTACCTTCTCCTCTCCAGGGGTATGGCTTCCTCCTCGAAAGGGGCAGAATTGAGCTCAATGAGACACTTTATTTTTTTCTTTTCTTTCTTTATTTTGGAGACAGGGTCTCAGTCTGTTGCAGAGTCTGAAATGCAGTGGCGCAATCACAGCTTACTGTAGGCTCAACTTCCTGGGTTTGAGTGATCCGTGATCCTCCCCCTTCAGCCTCCCAAGTAGCTGGGACTGCAGGCATGCACCACCATGCCCAGCTAATTTTTGTAAATTTTTTGTAGACGGCATATCACCATGCTGGCCAGGCCGCTGCGATTCTCCCACCTTGGCCTCCCAAAGTGCTGGGATTACAGGCCTGAGCCACTGTGCCTATCGACACCTCTTTTTTTTTTTTTTTTTTTTTTTTTGGTCGGGGGGGGCGGGGTGGAGGGGACAGGGTCTCACTTTGTTGCCCAGGGTGGAGTGCAGTGGCACAATTTCAGCTCACTGCAGCCTCCACTTCCCAGTTCAAGCGATCCTCCTGCCACAGCCTCCCAAGTAACTGGGATTACAAATGTGCTCCACCACACCAGCTAATTTTTGTATTTTTAATAGAGACGGGGTTTCACCATGTTGGCCAGGCTGGTCTCTAACTCATTCCGTCAAATGATCCACCTGTCTCGGCCTCTGGAAGTGCTGAGATTACAGGCATAAGCCACCACACCAAGCCCAGATACCTCATTTTTGAGAAGATTTTCTTATCTCTCTCACTAGATTATTTAAAAAATTTTTTTTAATTTAATTTTTTTAATTTATAAAAAAATTACCTATTTTCCTTTTTTAAATTTATAATTTTTATTTCTTTTTAAAAGATGGGGTGTTACCATGTTGGTCAGGCTGGTCTTGAACTCCTGACCTCAGGTGATCTGCCAGCCTTGGCCTCCAAAGTGCTTGGATTACAGGCGTGAGCCACCACGCCGGGCCAAGAAAAATTTTTTAAAAGTTGATATTCTTTTAGTCTCACTTCAGCCCACTTCTCTCCACACACACAGTACCTAGGGTCTGGCACTTCTGTGTGCTCAATAAATGTTTTTTCATTGGATTGATGGGTGATTGGATGAATGACTGAGTATCTCTATCACAGTAACAAAGATATTCCTAAATAAAGAAAAGATGGGGAGTTTCCTCTAGTTAATTACTGCATTACTGCAGAGGATTGAGTAGGACTCTTTGTTCTCGATGTTGATTTTCGGAGAGCACTATGATTTCTGTCTTTAGCCAGTCTCTTTGTGCTACTTCTGCCTTATTCTTAGTTGTAAAAAAGAAACATATATAGAAATTCAATTTCCTGTTTTCATCAGCAATGCAGAAGGAACAATCTGTCCATCCCACCAGCTCCTTTGCTTCTTGAATTGCTGGGCAGGAGTTCCATCTCTTGCCATTTTCTTTAACATCACTTACACTAATGCTTCTTAGTTTTTTTCTTTCTCTTTCCTGGTAGTATGTTTGGAAATGCATTACAGCAGTGATACATTTTTAGTTTCAAGATTTAAAGAATTGACTTGTCTTTTTTGTTTTTCCCTCTGGGAAAACATGTCCTTTATTATGGCAATAATTCTGCCAAAAGGTGAAGTAGGAGAAACTTAAGTCATTTTCCTATTAGTATTTGCCGAATATCAGCCGCATTTTTAGATCTCGGTCTCAGGTAGTTCTTGCTGTTTAACATTTGGGGTGGGGGCTTTTATTATTTTCAAGGTGGTAGATGTATAGGAAACATTATTTCAAATGTGTCACTAGATTTATTAACTCCATAGCTTAACATGTTGCTACACTTTATTTACAGACTCAGGAGAGTGTAATTAAAAGAATGCAGGAGAGAGAAAGCAGGGAGAGTCCCATTAGGTTCACAGACTTTCCCAATCATAAGACAATTGTGACCATTCCTTTTATCCTACTCTAGTATCAAGTCAGTTCATCAGAATTTAATGAGGAAAATGGAGGGGTAGGCAGGTGTGTGTTTTAATGACAATAATAAAATGATAGGTATTTTTAAAAATCACCTAAGAAGCTTTATAATGATAGGTATTTTTTAAAACCAAATATAAATCATTTCTTCTCAAAGGCATATCATAGATAATGGTGTAAGATAAGAGCAGCTCCTAGACCACATTTTGAGGACTACACTTTGATCATAATTCCATGTTTATTCTGAAACTTAAATCTGCTAACATCCAGGCTATACATGGTGGCTCACTA